CATGATGGCCATTGGGTAGGGGAAAACTGAGCTACTTGTTGGGAGATGTGAAAGAACCAACTAAGGAGGACCAAACCTATACCAAATGGGTTCAGGAGAACTATTTGGTTATGACATGGCTGTGCAACTCTATGCAGCCACATATCAGCCGAAACTATTTGTGGGCGAAAACAGCTGAGGAAATCTGGGATGACATGAAAGAGACCTACTCCCAACCCCTTAATGTTGCTAGGGCTTATGAACTGAAATGTGAGGTTAACAACCTTAAGCAAGGAGAGAAACCAATCTCGGTTTACTTCTCTACATTGAAATTTTTGTGGCATGAAATTGACCACCTAGAAACACTTGAGTGGGAAAGCCAGAATGATGCACGAGCTCATAGAAAGTTGGTTGAGACTAATAGGGTTTTTAGTTCCTAGCTGGTCTGAATCCCGAGTATGATATTGTGAGACAACAACTACTAACAAGAGACAGTGTGACCCTATCACAAGCCTACTCCTTAGTGCATAGTGAAGAGACTAGGAGAAAGGTTATGATGCAGCATCAGCCCTTCCCACCAACCTTGGCAGCAGTCAAACCTAAGTCCGGGGGTGATATGGAGAGGGGGATATAAAGAAGGAAGACAAGCGGGGTCTAGTATGTGAACATTGCAAGAAACCTAAGCATACTAAAGACACCTGTTGGAAGTTGCGCCCTCATTTAGTCCCAACAAAACTTAGGAACAAAAGGGGTAATGCTAATATGGCTGTTAATACTGATTGTGCCTCCTCATCGGGCACAAAAGGCACACCCCTAGACACCCTAGCTGCTGTCCGGGCTGCCCTGACTCAGTTGGAAAAGGAAGTTGGCAATTCAGCTCAATCATCTCAGCCACCATAAGCTCCCACATCAGCCTTTTCTCATTCAGGTACTCGGGCCTCAACTTATCATGCTTTAGCTCCAAGTAACACTGAACATTGTTGGGTAATAGACTCAGGAGCATCTGACCATATGACTGACTTGCCATCACTGTTCACTACCTATCACTTATCTTCTGGCATAGATAAGGTGTCCATTGCTGATGGTTCCCTTGTTCCCATTTTTGGCAAGGGAGACATCAAGTTGTCTAATGCCATATCCTTATGT